CCCTGTATAGGCAAAATACTGAAATACCCTCGGATTTAGCGAAAATTTACGAAAATGCCACTAGCGGCGCCTGTGGATCACGCGCGGTTACTGTTCACGGCCAACAGATGGTCGATTCTGGTAGATCTAAGGACGAGGATTCTGATGGTGGTTGTCTCGTTGGCCGTTGATGGCTGAGGAGGGAGAATCGACGACTTGAAAGTCGATTGGTCGATGTCGGTCGCGGCCTTTTTCCGGCCAAAATCATCGGTGCAAAAGTATAAAACGGCCGGGGTTTTGCTCAGGAGGAGGCGATGCACGTTTCTGTCATGTTTGCACGGCTTGAGACGGCAGAAAATGGTAGATCGGCGGAGAGAGAGAGAATCGCAAAAGTATTAAAAAAATGAATAGTTCCCAAACAGTAACCCCAAATAGTAATACGTGAATTTGAGAATTGAGAATTTGATTCAGAATGAATTTTTTAATCCTTTCCCCCCCTTTCTGTCTTGAATTCATTGGCTATTTATAGCCAATGAATTCAGACAACAATTCATGGATTGTTAAAATTTTCAAACGTCCACCGATTACTATTTATTTTATTATATATAATAATACTAAATAATAATAATAATAATAATATTTATTTATTGGAGTAAAAATTAAAAATTTAAATTAGTATTATAAAAAGTTTTTTCACCCGCTAAAAATCAATTTTAAATTAAAAAAAAACTTTTTTATACGGGTATCAACTCGGTGGACCGGGTTTTTTGACCAAAATAGTCCAAAACTCATTTTTTATCGCGGTCGACATGGTGGGACCCGTATTAACCCGGTGGACTCGGTTTCGACCGAAAATGACGGTTTTGACCCAAAACAGCCCGAAACTCATTTTTCATCTCGGTCGACATGGTGGGACCAGTATTGACCCGGTGGACTTTGTTTTGACCGAAAATGACGGTTTTGACCCGAAACAGCCCGAAACTCATTTTTCATCCCGGTCGACATGGTGCGACCCGTATTGACCCGGTGGACTTGGTTTTGACCGAAAATGACGGTTTTGACCCGAAACAGCCCGAAACTCATTTTTCATCCCGGTCGACATGGTGCGACCCGTATTGACCCGGTGGACTTGGTTTTGACCGAAAATGACGGTTTTGACCCGAAACAGCCCAAAACTCATTTTTCATCCCGGTCGACATGGTGGGACCCGTATTGACCCGGTGAACTCGGTTTTGACTAAACTTTTTTATACGGGTATCAACTCGGTGGACCGGGTTTTTTGACCCAAAAATACCAGTTTTGACAAAAATAGTCCGAAACTCATTTTTCATCCCGGTCGACATGGTGGGACCCGTATTGACCCGGTGGACTCGGTTTTGACCCGAAACGTCCTGAATCTCATTTTTTTTTATCCCAGTCGACATCATTTAACCCGTATTGACCTGGTGGACTTGGTTTTGACAGAAAATGATGGTTGACTCGAGAAAATATATTTTAAACTCTCTTTTTTTCTTTTCTTTTTCTTTTTTTTTTATTTTTTTTGTCATGAATAATAAGGTAAAATAACATTTAAAAAAAATTAGTGAATCCAAAATTGGGTTACAACAGTTGCCCCCTCTTTACAATGCTTACGGCGCAAAGACATTGAAGAAATCATTTTCTTTTGACTTTGCATAGGAAGTTTTGTAAAGAAAAATGATGGAGATGTGGAAAAACACATATATTTTCAGTTGGTCTAATTCTTATGGGCGACCTGCCCAAGTGAAAAACATGAAAATGTTTTCAATCTTGATTTTTTTGTGAAATACTTGAAGTGATTTCAACAATGGTTTAGTGAAATACATGAAAGTGATTTCATCAATGGTTTCCTGAAATACATGAAAGTGATTTTAGAATTTTTTTATTATGAAATACATGAAAGTAAATTCATCGTTGATTTTGTGAAATACATGAAAGTGATTTCAACAATGGTTTTCTGAAATACATGAAAGTGATTTCAGATTGATTTTATGAAATACATGAAAGTGATTTCAATAATGGTTTTGTAAAGTACATGAAAGTGATTTCAGATTGATTTTATAAAATACATGAAAGTAATTTCACTATGATTTTCAAGGTTCATGAAAACTTATAAAGGAAGTCATATTTGTATGACTCAGATCTGATTTGTAAAAATCGATCTCAAAGATGATGAAAGCTTCTCACGAAAGTCTTATATCTACGGTTGAGATCTGATTTGTAAATCGATCTTAGAGATGATGAAAGCTTCTCACGAAAGTCTTATATCTACGGCTGAGATCTGATTTGCAATCGATCTTAGAGATGATGAAAGCTTCTCATGAAAGTCTTATATCTACGGTTGAGATTTGATCATCTGTTCAGAGTAATAGTAAGAGTAGAATCCTTATAAATTACGCAGTTTTTGGTGACAAACATCATCAACTTCTTGTATTTCAAGCCTTTCAAAGTTCCCAACTCTTGAAGCTTTAATCATGTCTTCCTCTTCTTCCAATGTTAACCCAAATCTTGTTTCTGCAGTAGAGCCTATAGTTTGGCGTACTACTTTTAAAGTGAATGGTCGTCCAGTTACAATAGAAGATACTGTAATGGACAATGAAGATACTGCTGTAGCCGTGGCTAGAGACATGGTCCTTCCCCGTGATGAAACCATGCTGGCAGCTAGGAGCGATATTGAAGTAGTGAATCAGTCACTTGCTCTCAGTATCAGAGCTACTTCATCTCTAGTGAACGTTGCAGAGCGTCTTCATGCTAGAAGACTTGAGCTGAATACTCAGGTTCTTGATCTCCATCATCTGATTGAGAATTTAAGGAATAAACTCCGTGATGAAAGACGTCAGAGAAACGACTTGGAGAGGAGGAACCAAGAGCTGAATACACGTGTCGACTTTTGGAAGGACTATGCTAACACACGACACCTCGAGTTTGAGGAAGAGATGGAGAATATGCGTAAACAATTTGAAGAACTTCGAGGCCTGATTAATGATCAAGATGACAATATTTCTGATCGTCCTCGTACTATTTAATATTTGTACTTTTAAACCTTTTGTCATGAATAAAAAATCCATCTTTCTTGTCTTCATTTATGAATTTTGCTTTCATGAAATTGTCATATTGGATGTGATTAAAATGACTTCATTTCGTCTGAATCTCGTTGGATCCCGTTGGGAATTTTGTTTCAAGAAATATCTACAAGACAAATATGCAATGTTTGTGAAATTAGATGATATGTGATGCATCTTACCTTTTTGAAATATAGATCCCCCATTCATCTTGTCTGGCGATCTTGATTGTTAGCAAACTCTTTTGATTCACGCGTCTTTCAAATCTACTCAAGCTGACCCATGCTGTTGAGTTCTCCAAGATAAACTTTGTTTGAGTTTCTCAATAGTCACTGCCTCTTTCTCCATTGGATACTTCATTGAGAGCATTATCTTCTCCCTGGTCTGACATCGTGTTGTTGGTAACATTTCCATTGTTGAGGATTCTTTAACCAATTCACATGGTCAATATATGAGGATTATCTCACTCATTTTTCATGTGTATCTCCCACCAGGAAAACAAATTTCTTTGTGCCATTAGAAATCAGGTGACTGCTTCTTTGCCTCTGGAATATTTCTTGTGATTGCTTCTCTACCCTTGAAAGAAGTAACTGTCTTTTTTCATTTCCTCATTTGCTCTTGCTGTCGTTAGAATCTCTGATTTTCTAACACTGACTCTTGGTGTGTCATATATCTTTCTTCTTCACATAGAAAACCATTTTTTCAAAAATGATTTTTCAAAAGATCTCTTTTGTTTTTGAAAACTGAAACTCTAAATGTCTTTTTATAACAATGTTCAAGCAACTCTAAGGATTTATATTAAATCTCTTAGTAAAAGTAATCTCAAATAAAGGTAAGTGATGAGATGACCTTCTGCTTTGGTTTTCAACGTGTTCAAGCGATTGCTTGAATGTATTTTGAGGGAAAAGGAACAATTGCCTTTTATGTTTAGAAACACTCCTTTTATCAGCATGAATAATAATGAGTAATTATTTGTTACATCATGACTCTTTATGAAAAAATCTCTTATATTTTGGGAACGCTGTTTATTAATTCAGGTTGCTTCCTTGATTAGAAGGGACTTTAAAGGCATGTAATGTATTTATGGCTCAAGGCTGTAAAAGAAAAGGGATTTCATAAGCTCAAAAAAAGTGTTTAAGGGTTTGAAAACTATAGATCACTGTTATCTTATCTTCATCTTTCCTTTTGCTATCTTGACAACAAAATATACTAAATATTCCAAATTAGGAATTTTTTTCTATTTGTTGGGAATTCTCTCAATTATTTGGATTTTTTTTTTGAATTCCTTGTTGTCAAACTCATAAGCTCACATGTCTTCAAGATGATTTCCATGATCATTTCTTTCATTTTGCCCCCAGTGTAGGGTGTGATCTTAGTTAAGGTTCTTATGAAAAAAAACTTTAAATAGACTCGGCTCAAATTGGGACTGTAAAGGATGATTTTAAAAGAAAGTGAAAGGAATATCAAAGATGGCCTTTCTTCATTTCAAGTAAGATCGGTTAAAACCAATAAACTTTGTCCACATCCAGCGTAATGTTTTGGATTTATAAGATACCATGTTTTGCGAGTCCATGACAAGCTAATGTACTACCAACCATTATTCATGCTGATAAAATGTAAGTCTAAGACAGAATTTAAGTGATAGTTGTTCCAATTGCATGTTTTTGACTTGTATGGTCATCTCTTTTAAGAGAATTGCTTTGAACATTATCCTAAACAAATCATTGATTTATTTCATTGAAATCATAAACAAAATCAATTCTTTTAAAACCTCATTTAAGAAGAATGGGTTCTCTTGTAAAAAAAAAAATTTGAAAGATCAGATTGTTGAGCCATTGCGATCATGCATGGGCTTTTTGGTGAGGTATATGCAAAGAGAATTTCCTGGCCAAAACTTCATTTCATTTGATTTTGATTGGATGAAATACATCATACATAATACTTTTTCACAGAATCAGAGTTCACGGGCCTAGGTAAATCATCTCCATCCATCCTAGTTAACAACATAGCCCCTCCGGAGAATGCTTTCTTCACTACATATAGGCCTTCATAGTTTGGTGCCCACTTGCTTCGGTCTTCACTTGGTAGTGGTAAAATTTTTTTGAGTACAAGATCCCCTTCTTTGAATTCTCTTGGTCGGACTTTCCGGTCATATGCTTTAGCCATCCTTCTTTGGTATAGCTGGTGATGACAAATTGCAGCCAACCTCTTCTCACTTATCATGTTTAGCTGCTCATATCTCACTTTAGCCCATTCAGCTTCTTCTAGTTCAGATTCTATTAGTACTCTCAAAGATGGAATTTCTACTTCCAAAGGCATCACCGCCTCCATCCCAAATACTAGTGAATAAGGTGTAGCTCCAGTAGATGTTCTTACTGCTATGCGATATGCATGTAGAGCAAAAGGAAGCATCTCGTGCCAATCCTTGTAAGTGACTACCATCTTCTGGATAATCTTCTTGATATTCTTGTTTGCAGCTTCGACAGCACCATTCATCTTTGGTCTGTAGGGAGATGAGTTTGAATGTTTAATTTTCCACTTCATACACAATTCTGTGATCATTTTTCCATTAAAATTCTGGGCATTGTCGGTCACTATCTTCTCAGGTGAACCATACCGACAGATCAAATCTTTCTCAATAAAACTCTTGACCACCTTTTGAGTTACATGGGCATAAGAGCTGGCCTCCACCCACTTTGTGAAGTAATCAATGGCTACTAAGATAAATTGATGCTTATTACTGGCCTTTGGGTTGATTGGCCCAATCACATCTATTCCCCACATTGCAAATGGCCATGGTGATGTCATATTAAATAGAGGAGCTGGAGGTGCATTTATCTTATCACTATACACTTGACATTTATGACATTTCCTGACATAATCGATGCAATCTTTCTCCATGGTCATCCAGAAATACCCAGATCGTTGTAATTGTTTAGCCATCATATGCCCACTTGTATGAGTTGCACAAATTCCTTCATGAATTTCTTGCAATGCTACCTTAGCTTCGATTTCATCTAGACATCTCAATAAAGTCCCATTGAATGACCTTTTGTATAGAATTTCTCCATCCAGGTAAAATTCCAGAGCCAACCTTCTCAAGGTCTTCATATCTGCTTTGGATGCCCCCAAGGGATACTCTTGATATTGGATAAACTGCTTGATGTCATAAAACCATGGGTTCCCATCTATTTCTCCTTCAATTGAACAACAATGAGCTGGAAAATTTCTAATCTCAATGCAGATTGGTTGTACCCTTACTCCGTAATCAGTTTTGGCCATAGAAGCTAAGGTTGCCAAAGCATCAGCAAACTGGTTTTTGTCTCTTCCCATGTGGGTAAAATCTATCTCATCAAAGCCCTCAGTCAGTTTCGAGAGATATTGTTGATATGGTATCAATTTTTCTTCCTTGGTCTGCCATTCGCCTTTCACTTGACAGATTATTAACATTGAATCCCCATAGACATCAAGCTTCTTTATTTTCATCTCTAAAGCAGCTTCTAATCCAAGGATACAAGCTTCATATTCAGCAGTATTGTTAGTGCATTCAAATTGTAGTTTGACTAAGACGGGATATTGCTTCTTATCAGGTGAGATTATCACAGCGCCTGCTCCATTACCAGAAACATTCACTGCCCCATCAAAATACATGATCCACCAATCATTCTTTTCTTTGTCCTCTTCTACTATCAACACATCCTCATCCGGGAAGTCAAATTTCAAAGGCTCGTAGTCATTGATAGCATTATCTGCTAGATGATCAGCAATTACACTTCCTTTTACAGATTTTCTTGTCTTGTATACAATGTCATACTCAGCCAACATCACTTGCCATCTTGCTATTCGGCTTGACAAGTAGGGTTTCTCAAAGATGTATTTAAGAGGATCCATTTTTGAGATCAACCAGGTGGTATAATACAACATATATTGTCGAAGACACTTCATACTCCATACAAGAGCACAACATAGCTTCTCAGTCACAGTATATCTGGATTCACAATCTGTAAACTTCTTACTCAGATAATAGATAGCTTGCTCCTTTCTTCCAGACTCATCATGTTGTCCCAACACACAGCCCATTGCTACCTCAGTTACTGTCAAATACAAGATCAAAGGTCTTCCAGGCATAGGGGGCACGAGTAAAGGTGGATTCTGTAAGTATTGCTTTATTTTATCAAAAGCCTTTTAACAATCTTTGTCCCATATACCAGGGTTCTTTTTCCGAAGTAATCGAAAAATTGGCTCACATGTTGTTGTTAACTGAGATATGAATCGAGCAATGTAATTCAAACGTCCTAAGAAACCTCTTACTTCTTTCTCGGTTTTAGGAACCGTCATAGCCTGAATTGCTTTCACTTTATCAGGATTGACCTCTATTCCTTTATTGCTTATCACAAATCCTAGCAACTTTCCAGACTTTACCCCAAACGAGCATTTTGAAGGATTCAGCTTCAACTGATACTTTCTTAGTCTTTCAAATAATTTTCTTAGAACCTGAACATGATCTTCTTCATTCTTAGACTTGGCAATCATATCATCCACATACACTTCAATCTCTTTATGCATCATATCATGGAAAAGTGTCACCATTGCCCTTTGATACGTGGCTCTAGCATTCTTCAACCCGAATGGCATCACTTTGTAGCAGAATGTTCCCCATGGTGTGACAAAAGTGGTCTTCTCTTTATCTTCTTCAGCCATTTTAATCTGGTTATAACCGGAAAATCCATCCATGAAGGAGTAAGTTGAACTCCTAGCAGCATTGTCTACCAGGACATCTATGTGAGGCAAAGGAAAATCATCCTTTGGACTGGCTTTGTTTAGATCCCTGAAATCTACACATACTCTGATTTTGTTATCTTTTTTTGGTACCACCACTATATTAGATACCCATTGAGGGTATTTAATAACTTCTAGAAAACCGGCATCCCACTGCTTCTCTATCTCTGCCTTGACTTTGAGCACAATATCTGGGCGAGTTCTTCTTAATTTCTGCTTAACAGGTTTACATCCTTCTATCAAAGGTAATCTGTGTACTACAATATCAATGTCTAAACCAGGCATATCTGTATAAGACCAGGCAAACACATCGATATACTCTTGTAGTAATGAAGTTAAACTGCATCTTTCTTCTGTAGTGATCAGAGTTCCAATCTTTAACTCTCTTTTATCTTGCTCGGTGCCTACATTTATCACCTCTAGTTCTTCCTTCGCAGGTTTCCAAGCATGCTCCGACTGTTCTACCCGTCTAGCAAACTCTTCATCCCATTCCTCTTCATCCATTGCAATCTCATCCTTATCAAAGTTTAGCCATTCATTTTCAATGCAATATGTTTGTGGATTTATGGAGGATTCACTTTTAGAATTCCTGAAAGCGGAAGGTGTTTTTTAGTGTGAATGCATATCTTGTAGCCGAAAAAAATAAAAGGAATTCAACAAACACTGATGAAAATGCTTGATCTCAATATTATTTTAAAAGTTGACTCAACAATTATGAAAAGACCTTATGTTGTCATCTTGAACCAAGATTTCAAACTAGGTATAAAAACACAAAGCAAAGCACATAAAAGCAAATATAAGTAGACACTTAATCATTACTTCTTAAAAACAATTGGGGCTTCTTCAATCTCCCAATTCTGGAATACTTCTTCAACTGAAAGCTTTCGCACAAAGGCGTTGGTTGGAGCTTCTTCTAGAGCATGGATAGTTAACTGTGGTAACAATTCATCTTCTTTTATTGTTATTGGCTCATCATCACAGTTCCAGCCTTTCTCTTCACCTTCTTCTACATTGTTGATATCCATGACAGCAAGTTTCTGTCCCAAGACTTCCATCATGTTTTCAGGTTTCATCACATATGCTGACTTTGGAAAAGAAACATGGATAGGTGGGATTGCAATGTCTTCTTCCTCTGGCTTTCTTCCTTCTATTCTGGCCAACCTTCTCTCTCGCTTTATCCTAGCAGCTCTTTTATGATCATCTTTCTTAGGCTTGAAGCCAAGCCCAAACCTCTGATCAACGACCTTAATTTTCATCATGTTGACTCTTTTATGATTTCCAGCAATTAGATCATTCTGGAATGGTAGCCCATGTTTTAAAAAGCATTTAGCTATCATTCTAGCAGTACTAGAAATAGCTGGTCTTCTTAACACAGTATTCTCCAGTACCCATTCGGTGTTCACAATCTCGAAGGCATGGAGATCTCCATCTTTGCAATCTTCTGCTTCAATATAAGGGACCGCCACATTCCTTATCATGGACAAGGTTTCTTCTGCCTTAACTTTCACTAAAGTACCATTGATGATGTACTTCAGGCATTGGTGTAGAGATGATGTCACAGCCCCAGAGGCGTGTATCCATGGCCTTCCTAATAACATGCTATAGGAAGGATGGATATCCATCACTTGTAGGGTTATCAAAAACATCTGAGGCCCTATAAACAATTCAATATCAATGGTCCCTATCACCTGTCTAGGGGAACCATCATATGCTCTAGCCGTCATAGTACTTGGCCTCATATGAGTAGCACCAATTGGCATCTCATCCAGCATATACCTTGGTAGCATATTCAAAGCTGAACCATTATCCACAAGCACTTTGCCGATCAGACAGTCCTTATATTTCACAGTGATATACAAGGGCTTGTTATGCCCAGTCCCTTCCGGTTCTAGCTCATCTTCAGTGAAATATAAGTAATTGGAGGCTTGAATTCTTCCCACCAAATGCTCCATTGTATCTTGAGTAATATCCTGTGGCACATATGCTTCATTCAACACCTTTTGCAATGCTTTACGGTGTAACTCAGAACTCAAGATAAGTGACATTAAAGAGATTCTAGCAGGAGTTTTCTTCAACTGATCTACTATACTATACTCACTATGCTTCATCAACTTCAGAAATTCATTAGACTCCTCTTCACTTATGGGTTTGTTCACTTCCATATCTTTAAAAGCCTCAACTGTTTCTTTTCCTTTAGCTTTCCTCTGCCTCTCTAATTCTTCTGGTGTAAAACACCGACCACTTCGAGTTAAACCACCGATTTCAGTATGGAAGATAAGAGTTGGATTTTTAATGTTGAAAGCATACCCATAATTGTAAGGCATTGTGCCATAACTTCCATTATTGGTACATACAGGCTTGATTAGGATTAGTTTTGGCGGACCACCCACAGTTGGTTGGAGTCTGCAAACCTCTCTTTTTTTCTCCTGGCCGCCTATCATCCCCACTTCACTGCTTTCTTCTTCACTTTCTATCCGTATCATGCCGAAAATCAGCATCCTTTTCACTCTTTGGTGAAATTCTTCGCAATCATCAATGTGATGTCCCACCTTGGCATGAAACTTACAGTAATTATTTCCATTCATTACTGGTTCAAACTCGGATAAATATCCAGACTGTACCATCATACCGTACAGTTTTTCCATGGAAACCTTCAAAGTTCTTTCCTTCTTACCCTCTACTCCGATAGCATTCACCCCTCCACTGCTTGTAGCATGATTGGGTAAAGAGTTGGAATTCACATTCGATGCATCATCAAAAGTTATCCATCCAGCTTTTATCAATTGAAGGAGCTTGTTTTTTAATGCATTACAGCTTTCAATGTTATGCCCAGCAATGCCAGCATGATATTCACATGTCATATCAGGCTTATACCAATTTGGGTATGGAGGTTGTAGTGGGGTTAAAGGAACAGGGGCCACTTACCCAATACTCAACAACTTCGAATACATTTCTCCCAAGGGAAGTGGTAATGGTGGCAATCGTTCTTGGGTTCTTTGAAAATTCCTTCTTGGAGGGTTAACAATCTGGTTACTTTGTTGGTCATTTGGTTGGTTTTGCTGGTTGGGAGGGAAAGGTTTAGTGAAGCTTACACTTGCAACTTGTTGGGTAGGTCTTTGGAAGTTATGGTGATGGTAATTTTTCTTCTTACCCTTGTACCCTCCTTCCATATTGTTCACCTCAGACTCCTTCTTTTTCCTGATAAAGCCTTTCTTCTCAGTAGGCTCTAACATTCTTCCCATTCTTATTGCTTGTTCTATCCTCTCAGCAATAGTTACAGCATCATAAAAGTGCTGAGCTGAACTACCTACTAGGTGTTCAAAGTAGGGAGATTTAAAAGTGTTGGTAAACAAAGTGACCATTTCTTTTTCTAACAAAGAGGGTTGCACATGGGATGCTTTTTCATGCCATCTCAAAGCATATTCTCTTACAGTCTCTTTGTTGCCCTTCTCCATGACTAACAAGCTTGACCTGTCCGGGGCTACCTCCATGTTGAATTTGTATTGCTCCACAAAAGCTTTGACCAAATCTTTCCACTTTCTGATCTTAGTATTATCTAGTCTTGTATACCAACTTAGTGTTGATCCAGAAAGACTGTCTTGAAAGAAATGGATGAGAAGTTTCTCATCATTCACCACTTCTGCCATCTTATTACAATAAGATTTAAGATGAGTGACTGGGCATTCAGTTCCTGTATATTTGATAAATTCCGGTACCCTAAATTCTTTAGGTACAGCTACATTTGGGACTAAACACATCTCTGCAGCATGAACAGGATCATATAAGTCTGCCCCTTCGACTGCTCTCAATCTTTCTTCTAGAGCGGTCAATTTGTCATAATCAACAGGTTTAGAGTATCTCATCCTATGTGAGTCATCAGTTGTCAAGTTTATAATCGGCACTTGTGCTGGTGGAACATTGGCAGTGAACTGCTGTTCAGATGAAGAAGGATTTGCCCCTAGATTTTGAGAAGTGAACATGAAAGGAGCTACTGGAGTAGATATAGATGGAGTTGCAACCGTTGTCTGAGTAGAGGTATCTTCTCCAGACTTGGATACTAGGGCCTGCTCGAGTAGACTTGTAAGTCTTGCGATATCATTTTTCATGCTCTCCAACTCCCTTTGATAATGAGCCTCTAGATGTGCTCTTTCTTCGTTCTCCATTATCTTTCTTCGAAGTCGAGTGTAATGAATTTTATGGTCTTTTGGGGGACCTATATTTCAACCTGAATGAATGCCATAAAAATGAATGAAATGCACAAATGGATGCAAAATGCTATATGGATGATGTATGCCTGTTATTTGTTTTAGGTTTTCCTTTAACTTATGATGAGGAATAGACCAGATCAGATTCTCTTAAAAAACGTTCTCACTGAGGACTCCAAACCTACAGGAACTTGAACCGATTTAGGGAAGAAATTTGATGGCATAAATCCATATCAAAATAAATATTTCTCATAATAAAAAGATGATGAAATTGTCTTTTATTGGTTTACAATATCAGAATTACAACAAGTCAATCTTTCCAAAGCCTTGGACCGTTATATGCTGCTATCTCATTAATCCCATCTCTGATTAGCCCAAAAAACTGATGGAATTCATTTCTAGTCATTGGTTCACCATCTGCTATTTGTTGGGCCATGCTTCTTAATCCTGAAGCATAATTCTTGGCATCATTTGCTTGTACATGATAGCGCATAGCTTCAGAAGCCCAACATTCTACTTCTTTTTCTGCATTTTCTTTTTCTGATGATAAGGTTTGCTCAATGGAAAGCAAATGGTTCACCTGCTCATCTAAATTGGCAATCACTGCATCTTGATTTTGACACTGTTCCTGAAGTGATTTATTTGCCTCTTCCAACTTTAATGCTATTTCCTCAGATTTTGATGCTCTTTTAACCCATCTCTTCATGTTGACATCTTACTTCCTCTTATCTTCTGACAGAAGTGCATATTTTTCTTATAGTCGCTGGAACTCAAGTTGTTGATGTTGTAGCTGAGTTGACAATTCATCCTTTTCCTGTTTCGTGATAGCCAATGCTTTTTCTCGGATGGCTAGATTAGATGCTAACTTTCTTTTTTTAGCCGTTAACTCTTCTACTTCAGAATTCAAATCTAGGTTGTAAGATTCTTGTTGAGCACGAACCTCTTCATGTATGTCTTCAGCAGACTGAATCACAGACCTGGATGGCCCTTCAAATGGAGGAACTTTGTACCCTTTCCCTCTCTTCTTCTGCCATATTGGATATCCTTTAGTTGTTTTTCCTTCTACCCTCTTAACAGAAGTAACCCTACCAGGATGCTTCCATGCCTTTTTCACTGACTCTAATAATTTCTTCGAGGTCTTGAAATCTTCATAGAATGTTGCCAGCTCGGTAGTCCTTGGAATAAACTGCTCAAATCCAAACTGTCGTAAAACCATGTTAGGACAATAACTAATACAGCAGCGGGCTCCTATCAACGGGACCCATGGGTACTCACCACAATATGCCAGATAAGATTTGAAGTAAGAATATCGACTCCTCCAATGAAATTGAGATTTACTCAAACTCAGAAACATTGATTCCCATGTAGTTCTTCCTACTTCATGCAAATGTTTTTCAGCAAAATTCTCCAGCTTAGAATAAAGATGCCATGGGGTACCAACCAAACCTGAGATCTTCCCCTCAATCATGTGACTCACAGTCCAAACAAACAAAAGCTGCAAGCAACATCTTAAACGACCTTTTCCGGCTTTTCTACAATAATTCAAAGATGAGAGAGTTTCTGCCAATATTGCTGTAGCAGGATTAATTTTGAGGGTCACCACATTTTTAAATACATTAACAGCCTCAAAATCGATCATTCCCTCGGCAGATGGGAAAAGAACCAAACCGTATATGCCCAACGCCAAAATTCTCAATCGAATTTCATTGCTTTCATCATGTAGTCTCCTCTTGAATATGGCTTCTAGCTCATTCCAAAACCAACCCTGGCTGTTTCCTCGTTTAGTTGCATGTGATTTTGCTAGTTGACAGTCTATCTGGGTAATCCAAGCAAAGTTAGAAAGTGCATGCTCTATAGGTGTGTAAAAGTACACCTTTTCTGACTTGGGACAATTTAGCAAAGATCCATACTCCTCGATAGTAGGAGTCATATCCACAGTATCAAAAGTGAAACACCGATATTCTGGATCCCAAAAACCTATCATGGCTTGAAAACAGGCATGTTGGACCCTAATTTTCAGTAAATGTGCCAAGTCCCCATATTGTTTCTGAAAATCGACCTGATCATGAACAGATAACATTTCCCAACAGTTCAGTAGTTGTCCTGTACCAAGTGGTCTGTCATCTAATTTAACCTGTGCCGGTAATTGAGGCTCGAATTCTGATGGCAAACAATCCCCTTCATCATGTTGGCTCAATTCTGATCTGGTCAAAAATTCCTCAATAGTATTGGTTTTTTCCATCTCACACTTCCTATAAGGATCGGTGGAGATATAATGAGAATATGGAATGTATATGAAAATGTATGTTAATGCATTGACAATTTATTTGTGTCTTATATCCTACTTGATAGGATTTAACTCATAAGGTTTGGCTTAGTTTATTCTATCCTTAAAGAAATTATTTGGTTCTTAAATTGCCCGAATTACTTGTGAAGTA